TCTCTCTCTCTCTCTCTCTCTCTCTCTCTCTCTCTCTCTCTCTCTCTCTCTCTCGAATCAAATCGAAAGCCATTACCAGAAATTCAAACATCTTTTCAAATGTAATTCAATTGAATTCAAAGTCAAACACTCTTTAGTGACAAACGTGTCATTCAAATGCCATCCAAAACACAAAACACTATTAAACTTAATCAATGAGATTTTGAGAGCGCTATCATTATCTCATTAACTATTACATTAATGATTTTAATTTTAAATTATATACATTTTTAGTCGACTTTATACCTGGATGTATGGAAACAATTCCAGATATAGAATATGACGATGAAATTGTCTCGAATTCGACTAAAAAATCTAAATCAAAACAAAATGTAATTCAACCGAAACTCTCAAATCGAACTGAGCTAACAATTAATATTGATTGGATTAAAGTCATTAATTTTCAAGAGGGTATTTTAATTAATTATATTATTATGTTTAACTGAATACTAATTATATTATTTTATTATTAAGCTCACATCACTTTGAAAACCGGACGTATTGTCAATATATGTGAATTGAAAAGTGAAACACGAGCTCTCAGTTGTAAGATTAGATTTGATACCAAACTCACAACTCGTATTCCCATTCAACTAATTGGTGAGAAGTATTTGCGCGACCGTATCGTCAAATATCTCATTGATCACGTGAATGAGGTTAAGGTTATGCAAGTGGTCAACGACGACAAACACGAGTTACCCGACTATTGTACACTTTGTTACGGGTATGTAATTTAATAGGCTGGGTGAGAGCGCTATCACTCAGCCTAATTGGATTACATATAAATATAATGATTTGTATGCTTTTAGGTCTCATTCATTCACGAGTTGTAGAAATTGTCGGTACTGTTACGGGTCAGACCATCAGGCCATCGATTGTATACTTTTACAGAATAAAATGGATTATTTAGGCCAAACTGACAAACCAGACAAAAAGTTTGTGCCATTGGATAAAATGTCTAAAAGTAATCGGAAGTGCTGGAACCGCAAACAAAAGTGTGGTTTCGTAATGGAGGCATATTTTCGATTGTCTCCACTCATAAGTACGATTGTGCCACCGTATGACAATTTCAATGATAACATGGTATTAAATAAATTAATATTTAATTACAATTCAATTTATAAAATCAATGTTTCAAATTAAGATATACTACTCTATCGATGTGGAAGGAGCTCAGGTGCAAGTGAATGGAGTGAATAGTAATGTTGCTGTTCAAGTCGTGTTGTCCGCCCGTTTTGCCAATCAAATGAAGATTACATCGATTTTCAGTACATATATCAGGAAACCAAAGGGATTATACGACACAATGATAACAGTCAGTGGAGTGAATGTGGCTGTTCTCGAGGATAAGACAAAAACTCTCCCAATAGAAGACGTCAGGAAACATTTGTTTCATTATGTTTGTATGTCATTTATTACAGCAGGGTGATAGCGCTCTCACTCTGCTGTACTTATATTATATCATATAATATAATGTTTTATTTGTTTATTTTAAAAAGGTAACAATACATTGGTTGGCCACACACTGGTCAAGTCTGATCTGGCGATGTTAGGCATAACTATCGCAGAGTTAAACCAAATTAAATGCAAAACGATTGACATTAAGGATCTATTTGGTGGCCTTTCCCTCAAAGACATAGCTTTTGCTAATCTTATTGGCAAAGATCGTAAGCCTCTGAGGATTCAAGAATACCAGAAGTCAACCACTTCTCGCCCGTTAAGTGGCCATAATTGTGAGGTCGACTGTAGAGTGACTCTCAAGGCATTCCACAAATGGAAATTCGCAACACTTGAAGAGAAGCAAATGATGGCAAACGCTGCGAAAGCCTTAGCATTTATTAAGGCTAATTTATAATTATTAATTAATAAAACATTTGATTTGTTTAATAAATTTGTTTTGAAACAGAGTGAGGTGAGAGCGCTATCACTTCACTCACTATTATTAATTATATATTCATTATAATTGTGTAAAATTACAATTTGCTTTATAATCGAAAATAAACAATCTTATATTTAATTTTGAATAAAACAACAAAAGTAAATGGCCAACCGGTGTTCATTGAAAACTTAAACATAGCGCCGATAAATACGTACCCATTTATACATAACCACAATTGTAGGCACGTAATTTATGCACACAATGTAGAGACACACTCTCTTACACATGCGTATTGTTTAACTAAAAATAGCTGCCTCTATGAACAAAAACTCGCGTATCGCGCACAGTGGTAGCATTTTATATAAAATCATGTTTTAATCATACTTACAATTAACTTATTTTATTGAAAAATTCTAAATATTTATAACTTTTGACTTTAGACACATATCTCTAATTTTTTTAGCTGGTGTTTGTTGTCGATTTTTAAATAATTATTTAACCCTACATTTATAAAAATGCTGCCACGATGCAGGTTAAGGATTAATTATTATTTTTTAAAAATGTAACAATTCAAGGTTAAAAATTGTTACAAATATTTGTTAGATTTAATTATAAAATTTTATAATCATATATAAAAACTATCGCCCATTGCGTTGTGATGCCAAATATATTATATTAAATTATGTGTTAAATTTAATTTTAAACAATTAAATTATATAACAGTTTATATTACAGTTGTAGTTGTATTTAAACAACAAAAACATTAGGTTCAAATGCACGTTCCAGCTCAATTCAATACAAATGAGTTCTACCATATGCAAACATTAAAAAATTTGCTAATTAACTGTAAATATAAAATATAAATATATTTTATTCATAAATTTTAATTATATTTAAGTTAATTTGGATAGAGTTGTCAGCGAATATTATTTTTATCAGTACTAATAAAACATGATTGAAACTAAATATAACTGAAACCCTAAACATTGGTCAGTGTCTAAAAGCCTGAGACTTAACTCTTATGACTGCATTTAACCCATTATGTGATCGGCATTTGTGTAGACCATCGACAGTCTGGGTATATGTTTTGCTGGAGCCCATTATAGACAAGGGCCTTTTAGTGTATGCCATTAATAATAAAAATTGTTGAGCACTCAATCATATTGAGCAGTGCATAGCTTTTATATTTAGTTTTTTAATAAACTGTATATTTTATGAATTGTATTGTTAAACATATACTTTTGTAATTAAATATTTTTAAAACGGTATAACACTTTAGCAGCATTAATTTACCTTTATTTTATATACAAAATCTCAGTTATTATGTTAAAAACATTTAATTTAATTTAATGCTATTAACAAATATATATATAATAATATTTAAAAACAATTAATTTTTTTAATAAAATAATTATAATTTATAGTAATGAAAGATTTTGCATAAAATTATTGTAGACTACGCTAAAGATTAACAAGTAAGTTTTTTACAAGTATCTCAGATTTTAAATTATATAAATAATTTATTACTTTAAATAATTAATAACATAGAGAATTATTTTACTATTTATTTTTTAATAATGAAATTATTTGTTGTATATATTTTATTTTAATTGGACAAAGTGAATGACAGCGATATATTATCCAATTTGATATTAAATTTATAAGTTTTTAATGCTATTTTTAAACTAATTGTTAGCTAAAATTATTTTAAGTAGAACATAAGTTTAATTAACATTTATTAATTAATTTTTAATTTGAGTCTCTTACATTAGTTTATTGTTAATAAACTGTACTGAAACATAAAGCTTTCTAACTTACTATTTAAATAAATATACATATAATAATTTTGGCAAGAACTAAACACCCCGGTCATCTCAAGTAAACATGATAGATTATTATTTATCAAAAATTATTTGAAAACGTAATGTGTTTTAAAATCACATAATTTATGTGACATAAATCTAAAATAATGAAAAATAATGGGATGGCCTAAACAGCATATATGCATATGCATTTTATTTTGCATATTGCATATTTTTGCATTTTACGGTATAAAATTAATTTTTGCAATTTATAAATATATATTTTGATTAATTATAAAATATTATATTAAACTAAATTACTACTTTATATTCATTAATGCAGATTAAATATAATTATATATATTATAACTTAAA